ACTACACAGTCAATAATGTCAAGCAAATAAAAAAATACATTTGCAACATATAATTATGTTTCAAAATCCTTAATATCAATTAACTTAAATTCATATAGTCAACAAAAAAAAATGTCATTCACTATATTTTTAACAATTTACAAGAACTTATAAATGGTTTTTCTTTTTAACCTCTTTATATCCCAACTGTTACTATCTCTCAACAACTATCTGCTCTATCACCAATCAATTTCTTAAATAACAATACAATTATTATTCATAGCTCTTAGAAATTTTCTATATATAATCTAAATCTCAATTCCTTCTCTCTCTTTTGGACAATTCTTATTCCACTTTGCTTAGAAACTTCTCAATTATTTACAATCGCTTGTTTCACTGTATACAAACTAAATACTGACCTATCCAAATATATTAATTGTCAAATAAAATATTCATATAGTAGTCTTATTCAAAATATTAATATTTAATTCAAAATAAAACAGATTACCTTGACCTGAATTTTTGACAAAAATTAATTTTCTTCAACTACTCCTACATCTTCAAAAAAAAACTAAATTCAAATGAAATTTATTTTCTTTATATAATTAATATAATAGGCAAAATATTATTAAATATAGCTCTTGAAAGGTTTAATACTTCCTTTGATATCATTTGAAAAAAAGAAGAAATTTCAAACTACTCTTTCAAAATTTTGCATAAAATTTGAAAGCAGTACTCAGTAACTGTTATTATTTTAACAACTTTAGGAATCAAATAAAAAAAAACCATTTCTATAATAAACACTAACATTAATTATTCAAATATAAGCACCTTCCAGAAAGTTCTTAATACTTTAAAAAATTCAAATAATTTTATTGATAAAAAAATTTTCATATCAACTATAGTATTATCATTTTGAATAAGTATTAACTATTCAATACCTTTAATATATAAATATCTACTTGATACCAATATATATTAATTGAAAAGTTGTAATAAGTTACAATTAATTTATTTTTTATATATTTTAAAGATTATTGACAATAAACTAATATTTAATAAATGTTTTATATTTAATACTTGTTTGTGATTTTTTTTTTAAAAAAATATATCCAAATTCAATTTTATTACATATATAATAAATCATTAAATTATGATTGAATCTTTATAATTTAATTATAAAATCTTTTTTTTTTTTTGTGTTTAATCAGCTGGGCCTTGCCTAACATACTTTATTATTTTATTCACATATGTATTTCATGTATTATAGGAACTACTATCTATGAACAATTTTACATATTACTAGACTATATCAATTTTACTTCATATCAGCTTGTTACTGTTAGTGTCACCCCAGAGGGATTGTGCTGAGGCTAACGTGCCAAAGCCCTGTTAGTGTTATTATTATATTGTGATGTTCTATTTGGCATTGTGGAATTTTTAAGGGGAAGTTTAAATGTGGGGACTGGGTGTAGTACCTATTTCTGGTGAATAGAACCACTGCAGAGAGAATCCTTCTAAACCCGACCACCTGCAGATGAGCGTACTATTTAATTTTCATCTTCCTAGAGCTACTCAAGAATGTTTAAGGAACTTATCTCACAAACTTACAGCCTATAGATTGTTTCAGCTATCGGTACTTATTGCTGTTTTGACTGCCTTCTCAGAATAGGTAACTGTCGGAGCGATTTATTACTGGATTGGAATAAGGCCTTTCTGAAAACTTGTAGGAAGAGACACCAGGTCCACAGGAAACGATCACTAAGCCATCTTTACTGAAAGCAGATATCTCATATACCTTACAACTTCTGGCAATCATCATGACACCAACTGGACGATTGTCGTGCTATGACACCTTTTCTGGGAATCACAATCTCAACGCCCACTAGATCAGCATGTGATATGGTTTCTCATGAGAAACAGCACTTATACAGGTTATGGCACCAGATACCATATTAATTCTATTCAACTGCCCTCACATGGAATTGAACTGATATCTTGTGATTTGATCTATGGAGTGTTAACCACTACACTATAAACCCACAGGTCAAATAATTATAAAATTATAATAATTATATAATTATCAAAATTTAATAAGTTTTAATAAAGTAGTATTAAACTTATTGTAATTATATTTAAGAGATATTATTTTTTTTATAATACAGCTACCTATTATATTATTGTGGACACTTTTTTACACTTAATTATTTAAAATTGTAATAATTAATTTTTTATAAATTTTTTAACATATATTTATTGAAACTTGATATATAATATACTAAAATTTTGAGCAATTCTATCCAGTCATGCAGAAGTTATGTGGCGATGACTCAGCATTACCTTTTTTGTATAAGACTGAAAGCAAAAATCCAGTTTTTTTTTTAAAAAAAAAATTTCTCAAAAATCCATTTTTTTTCACTTTAAATTTTTGTTTGAAATTTTTGTCGAATGTTGTGCAACACGTGAGCGATGTTACACAAATTTTAAACAAGGTTTGTGTATCACAGATCGCTATAAAAAAACAATTGGTTTTTTTCCCATTAAAATATATAACAAAAAAGATTTGATGAAGGGACAAAAAAGTTCTGTCATTTATGGATACCTAAGAGGAGATTTAATATGCCAAATTGCAACCCTTGTGAACTGTGGAAAGACTGCCACCTGGAATATAATAAATGAGTTTCGTAAGTCAGGTGAATTTGCGTAAGAAAAAAAAAAAACGTTCTGAACGTCCAAGTTTTCATATCTTTACTGATCGTAAAAAACTAAAAAGATTAGTTCAAAGAAATTGTTGATTAATTCTTTCCCAGATTATTACTCTCTTTACAACACACAAAAAAAAAAAGTTTCTAAAAATATCATTTGTTGTGCTTTATATAAAGAAAACTTGAGATCATGTGTTGCTTGTTCCAAGCCATTTGTTTCCCTCATCAATATCGAAAAAAGACTCAATTGGGCCCATTCTCATGAAGGTTGGACTGTTTGAAAGTTCAAGCATATCCTGTGGTCTGATGAAATCACAATTCGCCTTTTTCAAACCTTTCGTTGTCGAATTTGGTGTGAATCAAACGATCTCCAGGAACTTGATGTTATTGTACAAGAGATATGGAATGACATACCACTTGAGTTTTGTCATCAGCTGATTATAAGTATGCCGAATCATGTCGCCACTTGCCTAGAAGCCATGGGAGGATTTACTAAATATTAAAATAGAATTTTTAGTAAAAAAAATTAAAAAAAAAATAAAAAAAACTTAAAAAAATCAATTATGATTTTAGTTTAATAAAAAAATTCATGTTTATAGTCTTTCTTGCATAACTTTTGCAAAATAAAATGAAAATATATAAAAATTTAGTATGTGATACCTTGATAGTTACTAAATATGTAATAAAAAATTTATAAAAAATTAGTTATTACAATTTTAAATAATTAAGTATAAAAAAGTGTTTACAATAATATAATAGGTAGCTGTATATACTTTTAATATATAAAGAAATGATATTTATTTATTTAAAAAATATATATATAGCAAAAAAATTTTAAAAAATTTATTATATAAATATATTATTAAAATTAATTTTTTATTTTTTATGTTTATTAATAAAATTGATCAATGATCAATTATTTATATAAACTATTATGTATATAAATAAATAGTTTTTTAAATTTTTTTAAATTTAACAAAATTTATTAATTTATTTTAATTAATTAAAAAGTTTATAATTAAATTAATATATTTAAGAAAAAAAAATAAAAAAATGAAATAAAAAATAAAAAACAAAAATAAAAAAAATATAATTTTTATTAATTATTTTTGTTTTTGTTATAAATAGTTAAATTAATTACTTATATTTAATTATATAATAAAAAAAATACTTTAAAAATATATATATATATACTGTATATATATATGTATATAAATTGTTGCTTATTTTGTTAATTAAAAAATAAATAATATTACAAAAATATATAAACTTTATTATTATAAAAATATCAAGTCTTTTGAAAACATGTTTTTTAAATTGGAAAAAGAAATGTTAAAAAGGATTTTTTTAAATTTAAAAAGTTAATTACGTAATAAAAAAAAGTTTTTATTTAAAATGTAATTAATAATAACAATATTACTAAAAAAAAGCATGTTAAAAAAGAAATTGTATTATAATTTTAAAAATGATTTTGATTTTATTTTTTAAAAAAACAACTTTATAATAAAAAATATACAAATGTAAATAATGAGATTATATTAAAAAAACCCATTTGGGATTTACTTACGTAATAATAAAGTAAGACAAATATTTATATTAATAAATAAATATTTATGATGTTTTATAAGAAAGTGTTCGAAGATTTGCATCGAATCGCAAAGTATTTCATTAAAAAAAAAACTGTGAAATCTACCTACCTAATAAAAAATCACGGGAAGCAAAAAGAAAAGAAACAAAGCAAAATATCGTAAGTTGAGATATCAATGGTATAAATTATGCGAAATAAAGAAAGTAATGATGTGCAGTAGGTATAAAGATACCTTGAGATTCCTCAGTAGAAAGAATAATATCGTTATTAAAAAAATCCTTGTTTATGGTGGCTTTGCGTTCTTTCCCTCGATTGGAGCTCAAGCTTCTACAAAGGCATTGAACCTTATCGTGGAAAGAACCCAATGGAGAACCCTGATTTAAACCCCTCACATGGTGATCCTTACCAAAAAGTATTTTGTTAGTGAGAATGAATTAAGTTGTAGAAGACATTAGAGTGTTACAACCTATCCGCGTGTTTTGCTTGCATTAATCTACATACAAACAAAATATAATATTACACGAATGTAATTATTTGATGTCTAAAGAAAGCGCTAATACATTTGTTGTTTCTCTGATAGGTTTCTAAAAAAATTTTTGCATAGTCACACAGCGTTGTGTATGCTGTTTTTTCACGGATGTGGGATTAAGTATAGAATGCAAGAACGAAGCACGGACGCAATTAAAAGATGTAACCATTAGTGAAACTAACAGAACAAGATATAAACCCTACCACTTTCTCGCATTTCTGTTCATTATCTTTCATTCAATAACAAGAGTAAAAAGCATATCCCCTTCCACTCTCTCCTTTGCATCAATTTAACAACAATAATTCAAAAATGCGTTTCACTTCTTTCACTCTTGTTATCTTGATCGTGTGCGCTATCGTTTTAGCAGCCCCGGCGTTCGCTGCTAATTCAAAATCGTCAAAAGGTGGTGAAAAATCAGCCACAGCCGATTCAATTTCTGGTTCTGCATCTGCATCTGCATCTGCCTCTGCCTCTGCCTCTGCATCCGCCTCTGGCGCGTCCGTATCTGCATCTGCATCCGCATCATCTCCAGTAAGCTCGAGTGGTCCAACTTCACCTGCTCCCTCACCATCAAAATCCCTCTCATTCACTTCGTACTTTGATAAAACCTTATTCTTTGCTACTGGAATTGTGAGCGGATTTATCGCCTTCGGTTTCATGACGATTTAGATCATAAATATCTCAATTTTGTTACTGTATTTAGAAAATGCAATATAATAATATATAATAATCGACCTAATTTAATAGAAAATATAGTAACACTTTAGAAATTCACAAAATCATAACTGCTATGTTTTTTGATTGACCGAAAAAGGAAACAATAAAAAAGCGTAGTGACATTTCGCTATAACACTCGAATTTCCAAAAAATTATTTTATTATTGATAAACTCGTATACTTGCTCACCGAGATATTGTTGCAAACTGTTAGTTAGAAAATTATAAATTATCCGGAATATGTAAATTTTTAATTGCACGACATTAAATTGATATACCACAGTTGATGATTGCATTTAATTTCAGTTATTTGGATTACAATTGTACCACAATCAGGTTTAAATCCCGACGGTAGAAATGAACTTGTCTTACGTAAGATGTTAACATTCTGCAATCAAAAGATAATGTAAACTAAAGTTGATATCACTTTGATTTATGTTCTATAATCTGCATTGATCTTGATATAATCATAACTAAAATCACAAGTCCACATTTTCGCTTCTTCATCGCCGATTCCTAACTCCACGCTAATTTCCAGTTCCTCCATCTTTAGGATTTCCAAGGCCCTCTCTTCGTCTACATTTTCTGGTTCGCCAAGAGTAAGTAGTTTCAAAGGTGCCGACCCATCAGCCGGTATAAACGATACAGATACTTTGTTTGGGACGACCGAAGAGACATCAGAATATCCAACTGCACAAAGAATACGACCCCAATTCGCATCTTGGCCAAATAATGCGGTCTTAACTAAGGCTGAAGTGGCGATCGTGGAAGCAATTTTTTTTGCCTCCGGGAACGTTGGTGCGCCCTATATTCAAATGAAATCAAAGGTAAATCGAATAATCGAGAAAATCGATAAGTATTTACGAGAGAGACATGACACGCAAGATTACCTTAACATGAATGGTCACGAATTTTGTGGCACCCTCACCATCTCTCACCACCAATTTAGCTAAATCAATCGCAAAATTCGTAAGATGATCTCTAAATCTCAAAAAATCTTGACCATGCACATCATCGATAATCACTCCTTTGCCATCATCCGCAGCACCATTTGCCAATACAGCAAATGTGTCATTGGTGCTCATATCCCCGTCTATACTAATGGAATTAAAAGATCTTTCGGCAGCATACTTGAGAGCACTATTCAAAGCTGGCGCAGTGATTGGTGCATCGGTTACGATGGTTGCCAATAATGTGGCCATATTGGGATGAATCATACCCGCACCCTTGGTTATTCCTGCCATTCTGTATGTTAATCCTGAGGATGGTAAGGTGAATTGACCAGATCTTAACTTTGGAAAGGTATCGGTTGTCATGAACGCTTCAGCTATTTCGATCCATCTCTCGTGAGACCCATCTGCAGATTTTTTATAAGCGGAATTGATTCCAGTAACAATCTTTTCAATTGGTAAATGCTGACCGATAACACCTGTGGACATGACCAGGGTGCTTGATTCCACGCCTGTCAATTTTGACACTTCGTCTGACATCTTTCTCGCGTTATCCATGCCTTTTGTGCCAGTCACGGCATTGGCGCAACCGGAGTTTGCGACCAGTGCTCGAATATTTTGACCATACTTTTTATCCAAAATCTCCCGTGATAGCAAAACCGGTGCGGCTTTGAAAGTATTTTTCGTGAATACCGCGGCAGCCGTACATGACCTTTCGGATATAATTAAGGCCAAGTCCTTATTCCCATTCTTTTTCACACCGCAGTGAAGACCTGTAACATTAAATCCTTTAGGATAGGTTCCGGCGGTGGGAACCAGGTGTCTCTTACTTTCTGGCACCTGTATGGTGGTCGGCGTGCTCATGAAACGTTTTATGTTCAAACGTAATGTGATAGTCGGTCGTAAGGTTACGTGATGGTATGAGGCTGAACTAAACGCAAAAGAACTTGAACATAAATTTCGTATCATTTTCGGAAATTCATTGGA